CAACCGTGGGTGGAGCCAGCCCGCCGAGTACTCTTGTATTACTTAAAAGTCCCCCGTGAATCCTTTAATCCCGTTCACGATGTCCGCTCGACAAAACTTTAAACCGCTCTTCGCCCGACAATTTCCACGCGGAGGATTTCGGATGCTGCCGTTAGCCACACACATATTCCCCACGATTTTCCACGGAGGAAACGCGGGATCCATTCTCGAATGGAGCGCGCCTCCGATCCGGATTCACGTGAAATGAAAAACCATCGAAACTGCTTAATAATTCTCGATAATAGTCGTCGTCCTGTTCTCGTTGCTTCGAAAGCATCGATGGCCGAATCTGTATTCGATATGATCGGGTATATGATTTGAATTGAAATCTGATTGTTCCGATTTGTGAAAAAGATGAAGAGGAATAGGATGATTATAACGTGGAACGTTTGGATAAAGATGTTTGAAAATTTAAGGGATGATTTGAAACGAAAATGAAGAATGAAAAAAAAATTGCGTTTTCGATTGTTGGAAATATTCTTAGGCCTTTTTTTTTTTTTATTTCAAATTACATTGGATAATAGCTTATCTTCTATGACTTAATATGATGAGATTAATGGCAATATGAAGTATTAAGATAACATTTTATAAAAGAAAATAGTTCTTTGCCATCAATCGTCGAAAAAGATTCGAAATAACCGTTCAAGATTTAGTGCAGAGATGAATCCACGATCTAGTAATCTATATTTTTTTTTTTTTGAGAATTTTATCTATCATTATTCTTGGAATTAATGACGCAAGAGATTCGAGAATGGAGATAATAAATCGAAATTTCTTTCTTTCTTTACACGAACTCAAGAGCCAGAAGTTGTATCACGATAAATGAGGAAGTTCTCGAAAGTGCTAGTTCTAAACGAGTTTCTAGTTTTATTGATCAAAGATTATTATTTTCAAGGTTATTTAAAATTTTCCCAATTTCAACAGAGTTTTGTTACCGTTTCCATTTGCAATAGAAATTTGAATAAAAAACACTTCTGTTAACAAAATAGCTTTCAATGTTGTTTAATAAATGTCTTGTATCTATACGTTTCCAAAAACTTATATTTTTCCACTTTATTATCATATTTCTTTAAATCCTCACGAAAAAAATTGTGACGAAAGTAACGACAAAATATACTTCCTCCATATTTATTGCATTTATTGCACCAAAAAAGAAAATAAAAAATAATCACGACACCAAAGACATCACCGTATCATATACATAATTATCCTACAATAAATTCAACGAAACTTAGCGTTCTTATAAAACAATTCGTCGATCCATTTACGCCAATCCAATACACCAAGAACACCTTCACCCATGGTGTTCACACATGGCAACCCATTAAACGGGGTTGGCAATGCACGCGAACATTCACGTGGCCGGTACAAATACATCTAACTGCACTCACGCCTCTCCCCACCCCCCTCGCCCGTGAACCATGAACGCTCACCCCGTGGAAGCCTGTCGAGGTGGACCTGTGACGCTCGATCGTGAACACGGCGCGCATAAAGGTGGGCATGAATATGAATGTATGTATACACAGATCAAAATGAATGGATCCGGAGGCGGGCGCGTGGATGGTGGACGATGGACGAGAAGGATGGATGCTGGCGTGGATTGGGCGCGTGCATACACGCAGAGGAGGGAGGGTGAAACGAGGAGAGAGTTGTGGCGAGTTGAAAACTCGGGTGCAGCTTGAAACGAGAGCAGAGCCCGCGTTGAAAACCCCCGATGGTAACCGGTTCAGATTCAATCTACATAATGGAGAAAGCTCGAGACAATGTTTGCACAACCCTCCTCCCCCGACCGTGCTGCCTCCCCAATCTTTCCACCCGCCATCGTGGAAGCAAAGAGCCTGTTAATGGGTTCATTTGGATTCGATCATCGCCTTACCCTCCATCCTTCCATCTTCCCTCGTTTTATTCTCGTTCGATCTTTGCTCGTTTGCTCGGTGTCTAAGCTTGTAGGATAGCCTTTTTTGGGGGGAGAAGGAGGAGGAGGGGAGAGTGTGCGGGGTCGCGTGGAATGCGGTCGATGATTAGAGAGACGATGTGTGACGAGCGAAGTTAGAAGGATATATAGTTAGAAGGATATATAGAAGGGGTTTTTTATTGTACAGTCTCTGAATGTTTTATTATTTATTACATTGGTTCGTTCTCGATCTTTTCTTGGGCAGTGTTTCCTCTGTGCGAGGAACAAAAATAGAAAGTCGTGAAACTTGGATATAATGTATTCAGTGTGCGCATGCAGAACATTCTAAAATACATTTCTAAAAATGTAATCTTTTTAAATTTAAAGCACGTACAAATGATATTTTGAAAGATAGAAGGTAACGTAAACTGTTTTATTTAGTTTGTTAGTGATTTAAATGTTAAAGTGATTATGGATAATATTTTAATTTGTTAATGTCTATTTTATTTGATTATGGATAATATATTAATTTGTTAATGTCTATTTTGAATTTATTTCAAATTTTTCTCAGCTTTTGTGACAAATGAAATATAGTTTGAACTCTTTTGCATAAAATTCAGATAAATTCAGATAAAATTTAGCACTGATAACTGGTCGATTCGAATTACCTTTCCATTTTCATTGACATTTTTCTAAATTATCTTTACATTCTCGTATTTTCATTATCTGAATTAATTTAGTCATATAGCTCTTAAATCACATAGGAATATAAAACAGATTTAAATTAACTTTATATCAATTTTTGCGAAAAAGAGGAAAACCTTAAAATCTAAATTTAAAAATTCCATAATCCACGAAGCTTTCTTGAAAAATGTATAATTGTAACTCTTACCAAAAGAAAAGGAAAAAAGAAACGATTTTCGCTATTCCTCGTACAAATTTGCCATTTGAAACCTTCTTCCTTCGTTTCACGATCCATCTGCGAGAGATAATCGCACAGAGATAGGAAAAAAAGAGAGAGAGAATCAGGAATGAAATCTTCAAGAGAGGACTGCTCGATTCCATGTTTTTCTTTCTCCTTTCTTTCTATCCTCTGGAGGAGAGAATTCGAACAGAGAAAGGTTCTTAATAAGGTCAAGAAAGACGCAGGCAGGTTGCAGTCGTTGGAATAGAAAGATCAGCAATTCTCTCGGTTTCTTCCTTCCTTCCTTCTCTTTGATTCGTCGCCTTTCTCCTCGTTGATTAAAAATGTCTTAACGAACGGCGTGTCATTTATAGGAAAAGGGACCAAGTTTTTCTCTTCTCCGTTTCGATAGAGATGAGATTTAACATGGAAATGTTCATTGTTCTCGATAAAGAGTGCGGGTTAGAGCGTGGATCAAAACGTTCGCCGTTTAAACATTTTACTATTCATAATCCCATTGAGATTATGAAATACCATAAAAAATGATTTTGCAATTAAAACGAGAACGAGAATTTCAAAAGTATAGTTTTTAATATTAAAATTATTATATTTTTCCTTACTAACTCTTCTCTTCTTCGAAAAAAAAAAAAAAAAACAAAATTTAATTCAAATACTCTTTCAAATAATAATAGAGAGTAATTTTCTTCGAATATTTATAAGAAATTAACTCGCATATATGGTAATTTAATTACCATATTAATACGCGGATAAAAGGGAAATAAAATCGATACATTGGAACATCCGTCGAAATTCTAAGTTTATTATCTTCCTCCTCGGTCGATTATTTTTGAAAATATGTATTCGATACTATTAGCATATTCGATCGCAATTCGGATTAAGATATACTGTTATAATTAATAAAAATTCTACTTGAAAATTCTCTTCTTGAAAATGAGAGATACTTTTTTTTCATCCCCAACGATTATTATCGTCTCATGCACGGGGAAGAAAAGAGCGTATAACGTAACCGGTCGAGATTTTCACGAAAATCACCGGTTGATTGCATTTCGGTCGGCGAGATTTCCATGAAATCACCAACTGATTACAAGAAGCTCTCCGCGCGAGTTTCTGGGATTGCGAATTCATATGGTAATGTCGGTGAACCTTGCACGTTCCCCGTAGCCTTTGGTAAACTTCATGAAATTCTTCTTGAAAATTCAATCCTATCCCCTTCCCCCTCCCCGTGGGGATGAAACGCGGTTCGTGAAAGAGGTAAGCAAAGCCGGATTCCGTATAATTTTCATCTCGAGACCGTCTCGAGGAGAATTGATGAAGCAAGCGAAACAAATGCAAGACTAGAATTAACGATTCTCTGAATGACTTTATCTTTATCGTATTCTTCTTTCTCTCGTTTCGTGAGGGTAACGATAAAAAATGAATTTTCACGGTTCTTTGAAAGAATAATAATTCTTGAAGAATGATTATTTAAGTAAGTAAATTATATTTTATGTTTTCTAGAAGAAATTTAAATGTTAAAAGATGTGTAAAATATCTATCTGTATGATAGAATATTTATTATATAATTTGGTTTGATTAAAAGAAGATTTAATTAGATTTAAATCGATTTATAAGTAAATCATAATACGTAGAAAAAAGAGCAAAATTATTTTTTAATAAATAACCAAATTCAATTCTAATCTTACAAATAAATTGTGGATTTTTATGCGGTTAAAACATAATTAGATATTAAACTATATTAAACTAATATTATTAAATTATTATATGATATTTTTCACATAATTTTTGGATAAATTGTTATTGTTTATTTGAAAAAATTGAATTAAAAAAGAAATTATTTTGTAAAACGTCAAATAAACGATATTGAATATTTTTCTGCTGTTCTTGACAAACTATTTAAAATTTTTCTACCCTTCAATATTATAATTTATGTCAATGATTTTGTTGAGAATATAATAACGATAAATTTATTTGTGTATGTAATTATCAATCGTCAAAAGTAACTAAATTTCCTAATGATTTAAAAATGATATAAAAACAATTAAAAAAATTTTCAATTTTATTGGAATATTCTCTTTGATATGATAACACTCTTTATGATATAATTATAGAAAAACAAATATTGGGAAAGCTTAATTAGCTTACCTTTTTGAAGTAACCGCCATGGAGTCTCATGTGGCCATTGAGTGCCGGTATATTTTTGAATTTTCGATGGCACAAATTGCACTCGACCGGTTTCGGTTCGGTCTGCGACTTGTTGGACGCTGTCACAGTGCCAGGGGATGCCGAATTTCCCGGCGATGGGCTGCTTTTCCCCACATTTCCACCTCCTGGCGAATTGGCCTGCGGCTGTTGTTGCTGATGCTGTTGTTGCGGTTGCTGCTGTTGCTGTTGCTGTGCTTGTTGCTGTGCTTGCTGTTGCTGTTGCTAAAACAATGGAAAAATAAATAACGTCTATTAATTCTTCATTTACATAGAATTTCTATCGAATTAAATAAATAATTAAATTTCGTTCAATCATAAGAACATTGAAAATAATATTAAAGTGATATTTCTGTAATATGCTAACCAATACTTTTTTTTTTTTTGGTGTTAATTATTTTCTAAAATAATTAATATATAAAGAGATATAATTTAAGGAATATGTATAAGGATTCTTGTAAGTTTTCTTTTAAATTTTTAAAACGAAAAGATTAAACGAAAATGGGATTATTAAATGAGAATTATTTGAATATTATTATCTAGAAAATAAATTTTTGTAACATTATTATTCATTCTCGTAAAATTATTACTCGAGCATCTATAGTTGATATAATAATAGCTTTTCGACTCAACTATGTTAATTAAAGTGGTGGAATAAGATTCTTTTGCAAATCTTTTACGATCATTCATTATGATCAATTTTGTATCACAAAGGGATATTTCGCCTAACAAAGTTCAAAGAGAAGAATGAAGGATTCTTTTCACACCTGTGCTTCGACAATTAATGAAAAACATCTCGCGACTCAAGGATCCTTTCCTCCCTTCAAGCTTTGAAGCATTTTAAGCGCTTTTAAAGATGCGATTACCATGAAATTAAATATTCAATTCCGATCTTCTCGATCAATTATTGTCATTGTAACAACTACGATTATACAGTTTTATTCCCCTCTTCTCTGTTTTATTGGATTCTTTCTTGAATTAATTGAAATACTTCTATGATAAAGGAAACCTCGGTTAAAAATGAAGAATGGGATAAATTAAATATTATATTTTCATTATGATTACTATTTTTCAAGTTTGAAATACACGTGATTTTTTTTTTTTTGAGTGTATAAAATTCAAGTAGAATAAGAGTATAATTGATCAGACACGAGACATTTGCGACTATGTCGTGATAAAATAAAATACCATTTACCAATCAAACATAATACATCATCGTATGAATATAATTATACTTATCGTTATAATATCAATCATACTTCTAAATAAAATCAATTGATTTATAAATATCAAATAATAATAAAAGTTTCAATTTTTTCAAAAGTTATACACATTATAAAAATTATCTAATAAAAAAGAAATAAAAAAACAAAACATCTCGAAATATACACATTTCTATCTTCTGTATTAGAACAAAAAAAGAGTTTCGATCGTTTCAAATGTTAAGCCCGAAGGTGTATTTTCTTTTTAATGCTGTCAAACGAGTTCCATCCATATTTGCATCGAGCCACCTCAATTAAGGGTCTAAAACAGCCGCTATGATTGGGCCTCGATCAGACAGAAGGTCGTGCTCAAACGAAAATTAATCTTCATTTAATTCCACTGTAATTCCGGGCGGCGTTAATTCTCGCCACGCCTGTGACCCCCCACCGAGGCTGATTGATTCCGAAAGTGGACGCTGGTTTCATTAACTGACGAATTAGCGCGACGAATTTGAAACGATCGATTTCGCTCGTTGAAGCGAGAACCGATTCACACCGGCGAACAGCACGATCCAAACTCGTGGCCCAAGTCGAATATCACTTGAATTTCGCGAGGCACAGTTAAAATTTATTACGATCATTTTCTAATTATTTTTTATTTACGTTTGATTTCACGAATCCTTTAAAAAATAAATTATGATTTTTAAAAAACTTTTTTTTTAGAATTTTTTTGTACACTAGGAATTTCGAATTTATGTTTATTATTGGTATTATTATTATTTAATGAATGTTCATTATTAATTTAATAATTAAGTTCCAATGTACTTTTTTCTTTGAAAGAAAAATTTCTATTATTTAAGTATGTATTTTTCCATAAGAATTAATTTTCTAAATTTAACGGATATTTTTTTATAATTGACTGATTATCCAAATTTCATTCGAATCTGTAAAAACTTTGAATCTACAAAGAATTTCTCATCGAATGTATAGAACAATTTTCCATATTTATTGTACTCTTATGTTCTAATAAATTAAAATAATTAAAATAATCTAAGTTTTAGTTGATCTAACTAAACTAATCTAAGTTTAATCTTAGTTTTATCATTAAAAAAATGACACAAAAATTTAAATATTTAAAAATTTCAGAGAATATATACGATAACTAAAAATATATAACTACAAAGAATAGAGTATTTGTTTCAATTTTATTTCTGTAATTGTAATTCATGAAATGTTAAATTTGCATAAATATTCGAAGTCTATTTATCGTATAAATGATTAAGCTTTATCTTAACGCTAGTAACCCTAGCTTTAAACACACAGACAGAGGAGGGGACAGAGGGTGTATTTGTATGAGCGAGGATTTTCGAGAATTCTGTTGGTGTGGATACCATACGGTGGCAAGAAGAACCGTCACAAGCTCATCGGTATTCTGAAAACGATCCCGATGCTACGATAAATCGCGGCGCATCCAGTCGTCCACCGTGCGATTTCAGAGCACGCAGTGCAGTTTAAACTGAAGTATTGTTCGAGTTTTCTCGAACGAACACCGAAGGCATATTACGAAATCGAGCGGTTTGCACAATGAAAATTTATCAACGTTGAAAGATTAAAATTCTTAACGCTCGATGAACAAAATTTTAGAATCTCTAAAGGATAATTTTTACCATCCAAAATTATACTCTATACATATGTAAATAAATATCGAATTTAAGAATCAAATCTCAAAATTATCCATTACTTAATTTCTTTGTTTTATTTACATTATGAAAATCTGTAATGTAAAATTTATATTTATATTAAAATAAATCTCTTACTTATGGATGAAAATTTTTTACATCAAATATAAAGGATGTTACAATTTAAATCGTTTCATTCAAAATTATTAATATGATAATATTAGAAAATGTTTTAGATAAAAGTTGAGTGTTTTCAGAGACTACAGATATACATTTTTTTCTGATTAAACGCATAAAGGACATTTATTTTTCCAAGTTTATTTTTTAAAATAGAATTATATATTTTTTAATAGACTAACAGCTAATCATTTTTTGTACAAAAGTATTAAAATACTTATAATAAAAAATCATCGAGTTAAAATATCGATGTATTTTTTCAAATTTATTTGCATCTATTATTTTGCATCATTTTTATAAAATTTCTATCTACTATTTCTATTCTATAATATATGCACGAAAAAAGATTGCATAGTAGCCAAATATTAGCTAAAAAAATTACGCCATTCACCCGTTTCTTCTCGAGAATCGATATATATTATATATATGTGTTTAAATCGTAAGAAGAATGATATAACTATACGTGCATACTACACGTGAATTTCGCGTTCCAAGGATGGTATCAGCGCTGGCAAAGGGTTTCGAGGACTTCTCTTTCGGCTCACATCTCGAGTATCGTTCTCGATATCGTGAATATCGGTTAAAGCGCGTTCTTTCGTCACTTAAGAGAACGTACTTCTCTCTGAAGAGAGAAGGAGCGAAGAAAAACTGTTAAAAGAAGAGGCAGAGATCTCTTTGCCCGATCCGATGATGGTTAATTAATCGTGTAATTATGGCGCTGATCCTCCATTCTGAAGAAGGTTAATGAAGAAGATTCTTTCTCTCTTGTTACGATGACACTTTTTGCGTTTCGATTTTACAGGCTGAAGTGAAGTATCGTTGGATACTTGTGAAATATTTTGCTTTTTATCGTTCGCGTATCGTTTGGTTAAACGTTTCGTGATTTAAAGGGTTGATGGAAAACCGATTTGAATTTGCCGCCATTTTAAATTTATATGCTTCGTTTTGAAGATCTTGTAATTATACAAAAGATATTTAGATACTTTTGGAAAAAGAAATATAATTAAGTATATTCATTTTCATTGTGTCATTTAAACTAGGATAATGTTTAAATCAATTATATTTAATAAATTTTGCAGTTTATAAATTAATTGAGAAATTGGTAAAAAATATTATATTATCCACTCTGTATTTGAATCCATCATTATTATATACGTTTTCTTATTTTATTCGCATTATTTTTCTTAAATAAATAAGGAATAATTATTTTATTTTGCTTTTTAATAAAATCGTCATCACTAAATAAGTTGGATTTATTTTTTCTATTTGCTATCTTTTTAATTAATTAGATAATGATGGCAACAATCAATATTTTGGAAATAGTTTTATTTATTCGTATTCATTTTTCAAAAAGGAAAGAATTTTAAAGTTTTAGGAATATATTCTTGAATGAAAATATTAGTTCAGACATGATGGTTAACGTTGCGATTACAACAAATTGGTACGTCAAAGTGAACAAGTTAGGGATCTGTTAAAGGACTCGCCAGAACTTGGTAAACTAACGAACTCTACGCGAATTAGAACTTGGAACTTCGTAATGTTTGAACTCGCTAAAGTATACGTACCTTTGAAGTCGATTCGATGTTCGACTCATTTAAAACTTCCTTCGTTAAAGAATGGCAATATCTACCTTCAATTTGTGACTCGTTGAATTTTATATTAAAGTTTTATAAACTAAAATAAAATATCTAATTACAAATTTCAAATTTATCTTTAATTATTGAAATTGAATTTAATAACACATCGAATTTTCAACATTCTCACAAAATTATAAATGCATATCAAGTTTGATTCTTTGGGTTCAATTTCAATTTCGAATAATAAATTTTTATTTTCAAAAAATTTTGAACTATAAATATCAAATATCAAATTTGATTTGAATCTTGTTTCATTTTTAAAATATAAATTTTTAATTATAGATATTTCGAATTTCAAGTATCAAATTTTTTTCTTAATCATGAATAATGAAATTCCTTTGAATATTAGAATCTTTAAAATTTTAACATATTATATTGTTATTTTTTTCTTAAACTATTATAACATATATACATTCAATAATGATTTTTCGTAAACAAAATTTCTACGTTTTTGCAATGATGATGATATTGTTTCTAGCAAAATAAGTACAATTATGACAATAATTTCTCTTGTTCCAATAGTCGAGATT